CACGATATAGACACAACTCTCAGGAGGCACACTTATTGACTTGTGAGCTTGCTCGAGCTGCTCAAATAAAAAGCAAAAAAACTAGGAGACCACTCAACTCATTCCGTTCTTGGGTTGCGTCTACTTCTCTAACACTATGCATGAAAAGCAAGTCAGGGGTCTACAAAGTTGCATCAGGGTAAGTGTCTGTGTTACTAACATTTTACATTTCTTGCTTTGTCAGACCAGGTTAAACGAGCATGAGGTGCATATTGTAATGTGCTGATTTGGTGGCTTTATCAGTGCACATGTGCAGCCCATAACCGTTATTTCAACCTTATTAAACATTGACCATATCTTCATTTTTCTTTTTTTTGCCACAATCACAATCTTCCCTAACCTTAACCACAAAGTACAAAGTGGGAATTTAAAATCATTTCTGGACACAAAAAATATAATCATGTATGAATGAATGTAATACGGGGGTTTGCAATATGTAAAATCTATGTCTGGCATTATGGTTGAGCCATGAAGGCTAAGCAACACTACTCAATATTTTGCCCATGTTGACTTCTATATAAGCCTACGTGATGGGAATTTGGTTCCCCGCGGAAGCGTGACATGCATGGAGTCTGATGTGGTGTGACAAAAAAAAATCAATGTTGTCAATGTGTGTGTGTGTGTGTGTGTGTGTGTGTGTGTGTGTGTGTGTGTGTGTGTGTGTGTGTGTGTGTGTGGCCAGCAGAACCCGCTGGTGGAGTTGCGCAGTCTCTCACTGTCAAAAACTCAATCCTTTAATCCCCATATGAAATTCTCAAAACAAACTAATACCAACAAAAGGAGCAAAAATTATGAAATGTGAAATGCATTCATCAATAATTAAAGTTATAAATTTGACATTGTGCAGACACCATCCTCCCACTCTCCTCCAGTTCGACTGATTGGAATGTAATAAGTTTTAAGGAAATTCGCCCCTGAGGTGCCGAAACACCGAAACCTCACTCTGGCTCTTCATTAAGATAAAATGAACATTGTTAATCCCATGAGGGGAAATTTAAAGTGACTTTGCCAACACACTGCTAACCCTACAGTATTACTGTATCATGGATTGATCAGACACCCTCGCTTCAAGGCTCTCAAGGTTTGGCATAAATCAGATTAGATCGTAATAATGTAGTTCAAATATGTGAACTGCAGCCTTGATTGCGGCGGTATGCGCTAGATAAACACAGCTAGAAATAGAAAAAAAACTAGGTTGAATGAATAAATGTGTAGATTATTTTCATGCCAACAGCACTATAGAGTGGAAAAAAGTCTTTAAAGTGCCTTTGTCTTGTGCCAGGTTTTGTGTGTTGGTGTGTATTGGCCATGATTTAATGACGAAGCTCCCACATTTACAGGGCAGGGTGGATGCTTGATGTTCCAGTGAAAGAGGCCTGTAAACTGGATGTGGAAAGAGTGACTAGAGAGTCACTTCAAACAGCATCTGCTCAAGCTGGCACACACTTTTCACGTACACACAAACACACTTTATGTAAATTGAAAGTATTGCTGTGGTTCCATGCTGTCAGCAAGATCTTACAGTCAAATCAGCACTCGAGAACTTTGTTTGTGGTTTAATTATTCTGGTAAAACTATAGGACACCTTGCATTTGAGATGTTTCACCATTTTCTAAACTTGTGAATTTTAATGCCAGTTGCTTTTGATGGACTGCGGTGGAATTTTGTTCCCACAGTCATGGTCTCCAGAGGATGGATTCTACCAGCCTTGGTGATCCCCTAAACTTTTATCCAGTGCCATCATCAGGTCAAGTTCTTAACACTACTACAAAACAAATTAAATGATTTGTGTTGAGAGCTAATTAGATAATGTTAGCATGCCAACACGCCAAATTAAGATGGTTGGCATTATACATAGCCACGAAATCTTTTGGGCTTGAGTAATTGTCAAGTGACTGGGTGCCATCTTTGATTTCTTGATCCCGTTCTTTAAAATACATCCATGTGTCACGCACATAAAATAATCTTATATATCGTGATAGCGGGATATCCGCTGGTTGCCTTACAACTCCCGGCCGAAAAATACTCATAACCCCCGTAAAACAACAATTTTTTTACACTTCAATTTCTACTAGTTGTACAAATAAGATAACATGTTAATAAGTAAGATGTAGAGATGCTGGTAGGCAAATTTGGCCGCCGTCCAGTTTCCAGTCTTAGTGCTGAGCTAAGCTAACCATTTACTGTCTCCTGCCACATGTATACAGCACAGACACTAGAATGGTATATGGTATGGTATATGATATGGTAAAGCGCACTTCCAAAAATATAGAAATATGGCTTTACATTTTTCAGTGTGGCTACATCGGGATATTTTGTGTTGCTATTGAGGGTTTGTCAAAGAATGCACGTGTCTACTCAAAACTGCATTATAGGCGTCTTTATTCAACTGGAAAAAGTTCTGACTTGAACCATGCTGGAGGAAGCAGAGCCAGAACTGAAATGGGTGTTAAATATAACAAGCAGCAACAACTCACATGGCCGCTTCCTTTTTTCACTTTGTGCCACTTTTGAAATTAAATCCTTTCACTTTGCCGTCTCAGTGAGCTTGACGTGAATGGAGTAGTGAAATCAAATGAGCAATATTAAAACTTTTTCCTATCAAGGATACAAATATTATTATTCAAATAACATGGCATTGATTATGTCATGATGATCCAAGTTTTTCCTAAGATGTTTCTGTCTTTTTGATGAAGTGCTGATTATATTCTCTTGGGGGTTTTTTTTGGCCCCAACCTGCCCACAAAAGGGGCATCCACAGACAATAACTGTAAACATATTTGTGATATGTCAAAAACAAAAATATATTTCCCTCAAAACCTAATTGATTCCTTATATGGAAACGTAATTTTTAGAAAACAAGGCTGAAAAGAAGTTGAACAAGAAATAAAATGACATTAGACATGACTCAGCTGTATCGTAAATGAGGTCTCTACCTCGATGTTTATCCAAGGTACAATCAAGGTTGACTGAATGAAAAGATGGATCCTAAATATATCCAGCAGCAATACTCAACATGACCACTGTTACTTGCAATCTCATCGTCTCATCTCAAAGTTACTGTAATTGAAAACTGTTCATTTGTTGTGAGATAAATAATGGCTGCTGGGACAATGAGGTCTTGTATGCATGCCATATCGTGTGTTCTATAATTAGACTTTTGTGTCATATTAGATGGAGTGAATTGTTTATTTATTGCCTGTGCGCTGGGTATAAATCTTGTGAAGGAGATGAATAGTCACTGAATGAATGAATCTGCAGCTGACCCACTTCCATGTGATTTGGATAAGCTCAGGGGGAGTTGTAAAATGCAAATACAGTTGTATAAAAAGAGAGCTGTGAGAAGATATTTTGGTGCGAGATGCTTAGCTGCTCATGCTACAACAACAGCGTGGCGTAGCTGCATCTTAACTGCTTCCAATGAGAAGTAGCTTTTAGCGCCACAAGTAAGTGGCGCTACCCAAATACTGTTACACGCACGAGTAGTAGGGGAAAGAGAAAGTAGTCATCCAAAGCCACAAATAAGAGCTGATCTTAGGAAATCAGCCTGTGATTCAAACTGTGTACATACAGGTAAAATAACTGGTTCAGCATTTTGAGTTATGAGCATGAAAGAATGACAACAACAGATGTACTTTCTTGTTGGGGTGACCCCGAAGAGTCGACGGGTTGGCGATTCGCTCTAAGGAGCCTGACTGGACATTCCAATCTCACCGATTATTCATCGCAGTCGCGGTAAAATGTGGATATGAAACAAGACTACATGGGGGTGCTGAACGACTGACTTCATATAGAATTGCTTGGTTTCTCCCAATAAATCATGATAAATAGCGTATTTTGGTGTAAATATCAGCCTTTTCAATAATGCAGTTATTAAAAATGTGACAATGGCTCTGCTTTCAATCAGTCTTTTTCTGAATTTGTGGGACCATTGGGGCAGCATCTTGGCTGAAAGACTAAATAAGAACAACATACGGCTACTCTCTCAAATCAAGAAATACATTTATCAATCCAAGCATTTACGTCAGGACGTCGCATCAGAACTCGGGATATATTTTGAATTTGAAGGAAAGATTCTCTGTTAAAGCACTCTCGCTGTCTCACTTTCTCTCTCTCCGTCTTTCACTTTTGTTTGATTGTCGTTTCCCTTCTGTCGGTGGATTGCTACAATGGGAGGAAATGGAACTATAGGGCAGAAAGTTTTTTATTAGTAAAAAGCAAGCAGGCTATACGTGTTCCGCCTGTCTCCAGTTCAGTGCTACGAACAGAACCTCGCCTACACACAGCAATGCGCAGTGCTGTATCAACAGCTTAGCAGCATTCACATGTATTTCAGACCATAACTTTGTTTTATCTATTTTTCTATAGATACATAAAGCCTAAAAAGACTGGCAAAAAGAAAACAATCACAGCTGATGATAGGCATCTCTTGACCAATCGGATTACACAATGTAATTTCTTAGTCAGAAAACCTCTATTTATTTCTGTTAAAAAAAAAAAAAAAACTCATGTAGGCACCTGTACAGCTGTGCAAAAACTCCATCCTGGAGTGACCTGGTTTCACTGAAGCGGTTATACACAATGTATAATTATAAACTGTGTTTTGGTGCAAAAGTAAAATCAAAGACACCGCAGGCACTGTTCACATTTAATGTGATACTGCCAGGCAATCTTGTTATCTACGCTTTCTAAATCGTGCTATAATAACTGAAGATTGAAGTATGTGGTGTGTTTGTGTACGAGTGTGTGTGTTTGGGCAAATCAAAAATAGCTGTGCCTACCTTCCTGAATGCACACAGGAAGTGATAACTGCCATCTTCGCTATTTTTACATGCGGTTTCCAAAGGGAACATGCTTTGCAAACAGTGGGGAGTGTGTTTGTTTGTGTGTGTGTGTGTGTGTGTGTGTTTGGAGGATTTATAACCACAGTATTAATAGCCTGTTCTGTGTCTCCCTGATAGATATGGCCGAGATGTGCTGGAAGAGGAAGAAAGAAGAGGAAGATGCTGTTGGAGACGACGACAAACACAAGCAGACAACGAACTCCTCGTCATCGCACACAACTGGAAGAGAGGATGCAGATCGAACACACTTTTTGTAAATTTGCAGTTTAATACATGTGGACCAGCAGGAACCGAACCAGAAGCTGGTTTGGTGGTGTTTGAGACCGCTCGCTAACTTTACACCTTCACGTCTGCAATTATTTGTCACTCCCACAACTTCCCGTGGCATGATGACTTTTATGCTTTCTTGTATGTTTACCCTCTGTCCTTCTCACAGCGCTTTGTGTGACAACAGGGCAGTAATGCTGATGCACAAGTATGTTAAATGCAACATTGTTAAGGATTCAGTGGTTTCATTTTCGAAGAAAAAAAAAAAAAAAAAAAAAGGAAATTATATTGTGTAAACGAAGAAAAAAAAAGTGTCTGGCATGTGATATTTGAAATCCGGGACACGGTTGCACTGGCTGACATGTTCTTTATTACCTATTATGAGCTTGGGTACTGTAGTTTTTTTTATATATCTTTGAGTCACTACCCACAGTTTTATATATCTTTGAGTCACTACCCACGGTTTTGTTCTTTTTTGAGATGGACAAGAACAATAAAGAGAAATGGCTGCTTTATCTTGTGTACAAAACAAGGTCAATAAATGAAAACTTGCTTTAAACTTTTTCAAATAAAATGTAAAAAAGACAAATCAAAATGTAATTTATGGTTGAGAGAAAAAAAATCTATTCCCCCATATAGATAATGTTGCTGATGTATTTAATCTGTTTACATATATTTGAATTCCTTTGCATGCCGATACTGCTATTTAATGCTAATGGGAAATTCTATCAATTTCTACAACATCTCAACAAAATAGCCAAAAGCGCTTTTTGTGTGTTTTCTCAGAACGGTGAGGCTCCACTGGGGCATCTATTTGTCATCCCAGGGTAGTTTGATCATGTTATAGCTTCAATTCTGACCGGAGAAAAGATACAGGGTGAGCAGAGTTGCAGGTAGAGACCAAGCCATTACATCTCTATTGATTTAACTCCCAGAGCAGCAGGAGACAAGCTGCAAGCATTGCCTGGCTGATGCATATTTAACTCGTCTATCCTCTGAAGAAATCTTGTTCTTAGATTTGGGAGCTTTTGCACACATGAGCTGGAAAATGGAGGAATTTACACAGATCTCACCGTGGGATCTGAAGTTGTTTAATCGCCTTTTTTTTAGATGTAGCCTGCTGGCTTTGTACTCATGTACACTGTATATAAACACATGAGAAATCCACACTGGCTATGCTAATTTGCAGTGGAGTAAAGCCAGATTTCATACCCTATGATTGAGTCTCCAATGCCATGAATAATTTACTGGCCTGTCAGCCAAAAAGCATGACATGGTTTGGTTGCTTTCTATCCTCTTTGACTAAGCAAGAGGTTACTTGGAATACGAATAAAGCAAATGATAATGCAAACGGACAGTAGCCAACTAGCTATTGTCCCATATGTTGAACAATATGATGCTTTCCGCAATGTGCAAGGTCCACGTTTTTACTCATGACGAGGCCTGGTGACCCTGTGTAATAACAACCAGTTTTGAAGAGATATCATGAACCAAACGTTGCTTCTGTATTCCACGCCCCTACTGCAGAGGACTCCAGAGTTTGAATGGTGGAAAGGACAGCAAAGCTCAGTGGTTCTTGGCAAACATGTCAGCAGAACTCTCTGTCTAATGTCATAGGCACAAAAAATACTTTTTATTCAACTTCTGTTAAATCTAACTCAATATCTGCGTATTCATAAATTATACATTATGGGCCACCACTGATTTTACACATCTAGATTAGTTTACTCGTTATGAGAACTGTTCAAGCTATGAAAACAATTGACCCTTCTCTAATCCCCGCCTCCCTTGCTACACCATTTAGGTGGACCATGGAGCCCACACTGTCACTAACTGCGTTCCCTAAAGAAATAAGCAAATTTTTGGAAAAATGGGGAAAAAAAGGGTTTCAGAGCGATGCAGACAACAATGCATTTGAAGGATGTATCCAGGATGACAAAAAGAAAAGATAAGATAGAGGCTAAAGCATACAGATCACAGTGAAAAAAAGTGAACCACCACATCATCACCTGTAAAGCCGGGTAGGTCTTAGGGCTAGCTAGCAATAGCAGTATTTGTTTACATTCAGTATGCCTTCAGCAGCCAGCGAAGCATAGAAGTGCTAACGCTAGGTACTGATGTGCTAACGTATCCTGCTAATGTTAGCTCCACAGGTTTTTACTTAGAAATGTAAATCTTCTTTTAACCTCTCGGGTAGCGAGTATCAATATTACACAACGTTTAACCATGACTAGCTTCAAATCCACAAAACCAGCCTGAAAATGAAGAATGTCTGAAACCATTGCATTGGAGTCTATAGAGCAGCGCCAAATAGTTGCCGTGCCCTGGTCAGAGCTGGCCAATGCTACGCTATGATGCTACTCTACGCAGTCTGCGTTTGAGGGGCGGGACTTAGCGCATGGTCAATTGTATATCCTAATGTCTTCTGTTGGAGGGACATTTTTAAAGTTTGAAAAAATAAACCTAATTTTTCATCAAGGCGATCTCAGCGTAGGCTTCTACACTTCACATTCCTCTGTGACTACAAACTAGGGGGTTTTAAAGACTGCGTATACCAGGCAGGGAAGGTCTAACATGGTCTCAGCATTATTAATCTTGACCCATTCTGGGTTCTAAACGGATATCTGGACCTCTGCTGTTTTTGAACAATTACAGCGCATGCCACATAGCCACAATGTTCCTGGTTTGACTCCATTTGGGGACTTTTGTTGCTTGTCATGCCCCTCTCTCTCTTTCTCTTGATTATCAATTAAAATCAAATAAAGAAATGTTTAAAAAGAAAGCTCTCTGGTAACAATCTTCAAAAAAATACGTCAGTACATGTTGAAATCCCTAGGTACAGGACATCTAACGTCAAGTTGTTAATGTAAAGGTCATCTGTGGTTAAATTAAGATCCACCTTGCGTCAATCCAATCCATTTCCAGCCTAAAGATATTTACTTTTAATTGTACTGATGGAGATGAAATAAGATCAGGTTGTCCTGCCGGTCTTTCAGAAATGTTTCTCATTGTCACACACAGCACAGCCTGGTTATTTCAACCTTATTGCATGGCTTGTATATCTACTAAATCAAACTCGGGTGAAATGAATTACGGGGTTAATAACAGACTTCTCCTTTACTGGAGCCACTCAGAACATGGGTGGTTATACTCGTAGCCGACTACGCTCTAGCACCCTGCGTACTTAATCCTCCACCTGCTTAATTAGGCTGCGTTGTCATCAAATAAGGGATGACGCACACGGTCTTTTCGTGAGGGGGTTGTCTCCCCTTGTATTTATCTTTAACTGCTTTCTCCCTGTGGGTAACACAACACCTGGAGCTGCGGTGGAAAAAAATATGCTACTATTTCACGCTGTTCCGTTCTCAACTGAAGACAATGAGTGATGTAAATGATGTTATTAAAAAGAACAGTTTGACCTATCTGACTCTGCGTCCTTGGTAGAATAGAGGTTAATTAATCAGTGTAATTAATTGGGTTGATTGTACTTCTTATTTTGCATTGTAGCACTGAGGGGTTATCTGAAGGCACCCGCTCAACATTCCTAATGATGCGACAGAAAACGTCCTATTAAGCGTTATTATTACACATCCGGCTGAGATGCGCTGATGTCCTCTGGCTGGAGGGAAGGAGACCATTCTCACAGATAAGCAGACACAATCCCATGTCACACAGACAAAGAGAGAGAGAGTATGAGATACAATAGAAAATGTGAAGCAACAAACAATGAAGCCTTTACTCTCAATTATTGTACAAAATAATTAGCCCATTAACAATGGAGCTGTTTTTTATGCTGTAACATCTCCTTGTCTTCGGAAGTGCAGTTGTTGCCATCTATTCTTCTGCAATACACTGAGATTAAGTTTGTTGTGTCAAGTGCTTTGTTATCATTACTACTTTGCACCTAGAAGAACAAGTGTTAAATGTCGTTTGACAAACCTCAGTGATAGGTATGGATCCCAATCTAATGTAAGAAAATCGTATTTAAAACAGGGTCGTTTTACTTTAGAATTTGAGGTAAATATATTTTCTTTCCATTCGGTAGCAGACTATAATGTTGCTGAAAACAAATAGGAAGTCAACATTTGTGAGTGTTTATCAGCTCGCCAACTAGCATGTACTGTGGCAATTATATGGTATATGGATGTGAATATTCATGTGAATGTGCTCTGAATATAATCATCAAGAGAAGATTCTGCTCTCTGTTAACATCAAACTTGAGATAATGGTGGATACTCAGAGGAAACTCAATAGCTCTTCACTTGAGGACGCAAAAATAAAAAAACGGGAAATGTAGCATCTCATCACAATGACCGGTTACTGGTTTAAGAGACATTTTGTCACAGTTCAGCTTGTCAGTCACTCCCTCCTCATCAGTCTAACTCCCTTCACCTGTTCACTCACCTGCCTCTGATCACTAATCAAGCCACTATATAGACTCCTGACTCCCAGACACACATTTGCCAGATTGTTCTTCGGTTTTCAATGCCAGACTCTCCAGCACGCTCTCACGGACTGATCTCCTGTTACCGACCCTGCCTGCCCCTGTTCTACCCATCTCGCCTGACTCCCAGTAAACCCACCAGCCTTCTGATCCTGACTCTGATTAACTCTGCCTGCTGTTTCTGGAAGCTTGTAATAAAAGGCCAAAGATCCCTGGAATTGTGTGTGTTGCATTTGGGTCCATATACAACCGGTTACACATTTAGCACTTAGTTCACAGCTAATCAGGATCCACCACCCCGACCTCATCACAATGAGGACTTCCACGGACTCATTCAAATTACATTTGTGATACGTCAAAAGCAAACAAAATCCATGATAAAATGGGTTTCCCTCAGTAAATATGTTTTCACATATAGTCCTCTTAAAGTAGACCAAAAGTCGGACCAACAAAAAAGGCATTCAGTTCTACTGACCGGTGAAGGGGACTTAAAGCCAATGGTACACATTACGGTTCATTTCAGAGGGGTATGAGTTCTTTTGTGTTTGTTTGGAGGACTAAAAGTCACACATGATATCTGTCAATTAATGTAATAAATGTGTGATTTCATTTAGATTGCATGTCGTGATGATGTGGAAAACAACAATACATTTTTCACGCCGATTGAGCGACGAAATGGTTATCATGGAAAGTTGCAAATGCCTGCAGAGCTCCCACATTTGAAAACCCTCCATATTAAGGGCTATATTTTCTCTATAAATCTGAAAGTGAAAAAGTGCAATTAAAAAAATGGAGCATGGCTCAATGTTATTCTTCAATAGATGATATTGACTGCTGATCCCTAGTGGAGATGAGAAATTATTCAGCTACATCCCTAATGAGCTTCTTTCCATCAGTAATGAACACTCCGCCACGCTGCTGGAAAGAATAAAAATATTCGAGCTTATAATCTATTCCCTAACACGTGTAACTGCAAGCACATGTATTGCTGGTATACACCAATCAAGAAGGCTGTGGTAGCATTCGTGGTCAGATGTAGGACCTAGAATATGTTGGTGGGGAGAATGAATTAACAAACAAGTCCTGTCTCCTCCTCCAGTCGCTACTGTCAAGATGTCCTTAATCAACTATTGGACTTGAATATTTGTCCAGTGGACAGAGACAAAGCTCTTGAGTGAATGCTTGTGTGTAAATTTAAAAATAGCCAACTGTTTGCCAACAACCTTGACCTTTCGTACTTGCTCTAGTTGAGCAAACACAGCTTACATGTGCAGGCGGATTGTTAGCTGGGCTTGCTTGTGCCCACTTTTGGTTTAACCTGTGTACTTCTTTAGAGCCAATATGATCCTCCTTATTTCTCACCCCAAGATGTTAGCTTTTGCTTTGGTGGCGACAATGTTATCATAATCAATAGAAATGATGTTGATATGTATGCCGTCCCTCGGACTTTGTAGGATTCATTTCACAAAGGTCTACCTGAGTATTCAGAGTATTGACACATCGCTTCGGATAGTGACAGGGGAAGTACCAAGCTACGTCAGCGAGGGCTTGGTAAACACAACTAGAAGTCTTGTTTACCTCCACAGTAGCACACCTGCTTGTGTCCAGGAGTATCTTATCTCAAGACCGCAGTACGTCAGATTGAACAACTGTTTCTGACATCATCCCCTTTGAATCAGGAGCTCCAGAGGGTACGGTATCTCCTTTTATTTACTTAGAACACAAGCTGACAGCAAGCAAACGCACTGTTTCGTGATCTTCAAATATTGTCTGCCAGTGGATAAATCAAATGAAAATGACCAGATATATAGAGAAGACTTGGAGAGAGGGGATCGCCAATGTCTTGTACCCGATCATTAAGGATGAGTGGGTTGTTGGTTATTGGAACATGGTCATGGATATGAACTGGAGCTAGAGAGTATGCTGTATTGAAAAGAATCCAAAAAGTGTTTTATAGTTTCTGATGTGAAGGTGAGAAGCATTAACTTAACATAAGAGGGCTTTCCTGGTTAAATGAACGTTGAGCATTAAGCCATTCTGTCACAGTCTGAGTGTTTTTTTCTTCTCTTGCTGGCCCTGTTGTTCGAATACAGTTGCCTCGGAAACAAATGCAGACCGATGAAAACAAAGGGAAGCCTTTCTATCATGGCCTTGTGAATGCAAGTACTCCAAGAACAACTTACCGTGCTGTGTTATATAAATGGCCATCAGATGAAAATAGAAAGGAAACATCAATCCTTCAGAATAAATTCTTGCACAAGAAAATATGATATAGTATATTTGTTTTGAAAAGCACCACTGGACGGGTTGTTTGAGGGCCCAGCCAGTAGGGGGCGCTGCCGCAGACTCGGCCGAGTACGGTTTTCTTTGGGAGCGAGTGGGAGCAGCATGATTCCGACTTTATCTTATTTATCTGTTCAGGTGTGCTACGCAGATTGACAGTCGATCCAATGTTTGCATTCCTGTGTGTGCGTCCAGAGAAATGTAAGTTGTGTGTATTTACCGGATATATTGGAATTTTGATTGGCATTTACCCGCGCTTGCAGCACCGAACGGTCCCGTTATGTTAATACTTATATGCCGAACAGGTTGTTATCCTTTTACCTTTATGCATATACGACAATGATGCAAACGGTTTATTGAATGCTTATTTAAATGTCCTAGCTTATGTTAGCCCACTGTGACTAGGATACTTTCACTTTTGTTAGTTTGCAGGTTTAGGTGTTGCCGCTAAGTTGTAAATTATTGGATACAAGCAGCTATTAAAGGCTATGGCATTTATTATGAGTTGAACCTCTGTTAACGTTTGCATTGTATTGTTTACCTTTTCAGAACCACACAGACGGGCAAGTGTGCATTGCATTAAAGTGCAGTAAACTGATCATCGGCATCAGGCATCAGTATTTACATCAAGTCTTGGGGGAACATAGGGAGAGCATTCTAGCAGATGCACACTTCACGATTGTAACGAGTAGCCAGCCTGTAATTACTGAGCCTCAGCAACAATATTTGCCTGCTTTATGTAAATCCAATCATCTGCAATGACATGATTTGCAGATGACTGAGTGGAGCATAAGGAGGAACAGTTGCTCAAGTTTCATAACATCTGATTTCATAGCATTTAGACAATTAACACCCTTTGTGTCAGTAATGACTCAGAAAAAAGACCTGGGAATTAATTGCACAAAAATGCCCCCGGTGTGTAAAGGCCTTAAGATTCTGCTATAATATTAGTTTTATTAAAACAACTTAGCAATTGGAAACAAATGAATTGCCTCAAAAGAAAACAAATCTAGTGGAAAAACAAACTGCAGAAGATAAGTGTGGGATTTAAAACATCAAATCTACTCTACTAATTCAGCCATTGGATTCATTTGTTCCACTTGTTCTTTTTTCCTCTCCTAAAAAAAAATGAATTCAGAGGTTTACGGGTAAGCGCAAATTTACTGGTACTGCGTTTAGCTATTTGTGTTGCAGTGACAATCGCAACTCCAGATGTGAACTTGCCACAATGCTTGCACTGTGTGCTCATTTGAATGCATCGCTGGAAAACCACAAGGTTGAAGTAATAATATTAACCATGGCTCCGTTCCATCGAAGTGTCACAGTGAGCCAGCACGAACAGGACCGGGGACCTGGAACGCACAAGCAAAAATCAAATGGAATGCAGCCATTGTAAGTGGAATGTATAGCACCTGTGCTTTTCTTGTTGTGTCAAGTCCAAATATCTGCTGTGGAAAAAGGTCTATTGAAAATTAAAGGATGGGTTGACATTTTAATCAAGTCGTTTTCAATAAAATCCATGTTTAGTGCCTATTAGCAAATGTTAGCGCGCTAGAATCAGATGGTAAACGCATTACATCATAGCTGTATTATAGTACCTACACACACACACTTTCAAAGTCATCAGATTGCCAATTCACAACTGTCTGACTCATAATCCGGGTATCTTGAAATTGTCGCGTGATCGGCATTAGGGAGCCACAATTTACATACGACATGTCAC